CGTTCTGCTGTGCATGGGGTCGCTATGAGTCAGAAATGACTTGACGGCACTTAACAACAACAACAACAACTGGTGGTGTAGTACCTAAGGCACTTGACTGCTAACTAGAAGGCTGGCAGTTCAAATCCACCAATGACTCCTTGGAAGGAAGATGGAAGCATACTACCTTTGTAGTGATACTGCCTTGGAAACCCAAGGAGGAGTTGCTATGAGTCAGATCCAACTTGACGGCATTGAGTTTGGTTTGGTTTTTTATTGTATTTCTAGAAATTTACCCATTTCTTACAGGTTTTCAAATGTGTTGGAGTACAGTTTTTCATAGTGTTCTGTTACTATCCTTTTTATTTCAGTTGGTTCTGTTGTAAAGTCACTCATTTCATTTCTTTGTGTTAGTTTCATCTTCTTTCTTTGTTAAATTTACCAGTGGTTTGTTGATTTTATTTTTGAATTTATTAAAAGCTTTTTAATCTATAAAATATTTTCCAATGTTCTCAACTTAAGAATTGTGATATTTTGTAATGTAGTTGGCTGAATTTTGCAAGGCAGACCTCAGATACTGATCTGGGTTTGATGAGAGACGCATACAATTGCTTATTCCCTGTCTCTATTGCATGAATGTTTACATGAATTTTGTAGCTATCTTTACAGTTTAATTGATTGCAGAAAATGCTATTTATGTTTTTCTGAAAACATCAGAAATGAATTACAATAATATTGCTAAAATCTTATTTTCTCTTCTCTATTCTAGATTAAAGAGTCTATTGTTGGGGAAATCAGACGGGAAATTGTAAGTGGGCTTTTGGCAGCAGTATCTTCAAGTAAAGCTTCCAATGCTAAGGAAGACAAATAGTCATTAAATAGAATTTACAGGTAACTTTTAAAAATTTCTTTATTTAGCTAAATGTAAGTTATAAATTCGTACTTGAATTGTAATGCTTTCTTTTCTTAGTAGACAAGTTTGTTCCTCTACATACATTTTGATTTTTAGAATGTATGTTATGTTCAGTCTGTGAAAACCTCATGTAGTCCCATTTGAAGTATAAGCAAGTCAAATCCTGTAATACCTCCAAGAGATTATCTATGTTGTGTGGTTTGCTGATATTCCGTTGCCATAAATAATTGCCAGAATTGGCCCTGAACACCTGAATCTTACTTTAATAGCATTGGTTATAATGGCATTTCACATATATGGTTTATGGAACATGACTGAGACTTAATCACAAATTCTTAGTGTATCTTACTATTTTTTGCCTTTTAAAGAAACATCTCCCATATATCATGCATAATTGTTATAATTTATAAAAATATGCTTTATTAAAATGAATTTAATTTATTAAAACAATTTTTTCCTCATAGCTCTGATTATAGTTCATAAAATATTTGTTCACAGTAATACTTGGTGAATGCAAAAAGGAATTGTATAATGGTCAGTAGAATTATAAGTTTGTAGAAATAAAATATGGAAACAGAACTGTAATTTGAAGCATGATATATAATTTTATCTGTAGATAATGGGACAATAGTTGTTGACTAGTGAAGTTATAAAGAAACTAGTACGATTCTTTTTCGGTTAGGCATGAAAAATTGACTCTGAGTAAGGTACAGAGATCAAGAAGAAAAATGTTTAGATTCATAAATAGATAAACAAAATTCGTGGATAAAAACCAAACTCATTGCCTTTGAGTGTATTCTGACTTAGAACAACCCTGTAGGACAGATGTGACCTATCCTAGATGGTTTTCAAGGCTCTGAATCTTTATAGAAGCAAACTGCTACATTTTCTCCCCTGGGGAAGCTGGTAATCTTGACTCAGGGACTTTCCAGTTATCAGCCAAATATTTAACCACTGTGTCACCAGGGCTCCGAGATTGATAGGTAAAATTCTCAAGTCTTTGTGAGCTCTGGTAGCATAGTGCCTAAGGCACTTGACTGCTAAACAGAAGGCTGCCAATTCAAACCCACCAGCCACCCCTCAGAAGGAAGACTAGGCAGTCTACTTCTGTAGAGCTATCGCCTCGGAAACCTGAGGAAGGGTTGCTATGAGTCGGATTCAACTCGACGGCAGTGGGTTTGGGTTGTTTTATTTATTTATTTATTTATTTTAAAGAACCTTTTGATAAAAATACTTAAAAGATTTTTAATGTTTAATGGTGTTGCCTTTTTTTTTTTTTTAAGGTTGACGTGGATTCGTATTAGCATATTGGAGTTATCAATGGTATACACTGGGGGAGGTGTTATTTGTGCTTCAGAAGATACTTGCTGCTGAGCTGGGCTACTGTGTAAATGTACAATGTTTATTTCTTCTATGCATATCTTTTAAAATACGTAGAAACATAGGCACTTTGCTGACCATTCTTTTCTAAACTATCAAAACTGTAGCAGTTTGAAAACCTAATATTTATTTGTATGTCAATATTTTCTAATTGATTCCCTATGTAGAATTAATTTTAAAACTTGAAGACTTCCAGACTTAACCAACTTATAAATAACATATTTCTTCAGAATAGCTTCTTAAAACACTGACCTCTATGAGGTATTTACTGTGCAATAACTGATTCCTTTTTTGAGAGCTTGAAGCAACCAATGATTTTCCCTTCCACTGCTGTTAATTAGTGTCACTTCCAAGAAGAAAACGTGTTCTGTTGTAAAAATTGATATTCATTCTTGAGGAGGTTACTAATAGCAGTATGACAGAATTATATGAGGTTACCTACAACTACTTAATGTTCTTACACTGTAAGCCTTGTTACTTTACCCGAGACAAATGTAATTTTATTATAGCTTTTGTAGTATTTTTCTTTGGGAAATATGCCTTATGTTAAACACTATGTACTATTTGCCCTGTTCAGACTTTTTTATTATAAGGGGAGGTTTCTTCTGTCTTTTAGACAAAATAGTAGAGTATTGCCAAAATAATGGGGCCTATAACTCGAATGGGTAGAAATGATTAAGCTGGTTTTGTCTTTTCAAAATGAAACTAATTTAGATTTGTTCTCTTTATCCATAAATGGTTTGACTTCAGTTATGACCAGTGAAAAATTTTTCTTTTTTTAATGGAAAAAAGAAAAAGAAAAAAGGAAAACTGTGTCCTGTTTGGTTTTTATATGTGTTAAATAGAATATGTAAAGTAACAACCAAATGTTATTGGCATTATTCTTTGCGCATTTATAGTTTTCAACTCATATTATGTTTCTTTGTGTGTAAAATTTTAATCAAAAGTGTTTGAGATGTTAACAGTATTCTTTGAAAGAATATCTAAAGGTCTATGAATGTTTGAATTATCACACAAAGGCTGATTTCTAAAAAAAAAAAAAAAAAAATTAAAACAATAAAGTATTTATTTTGCCTAACATGTTATCGGTGCTTTCTTTCCTTGGAACTGCAACTTGAAGAATTTGCATTAGATTTGGAGAGTAACAAAGCCCAGAAGGATCTCAACACATAACAAAATAGGTTTTTATTCTCTTTCCTTGCAGAGGCTTCTGTGATGCTTTACAAGTACAGTTTAGACCACCCTGGAGAGAGCACGTCCTGGTGCCCTTGGTCTCTAGTTCTGTGGTCCTAATGATTACCATCTGAGGCCATGTTCAACCCCTCTTTAAGCTATACTATGGCGACTATAAAAAACAGACATTAAAACATTCTTTTATTCTTTGGTCAGATTATTCAGAAATTTTTAACTAATTGATTCCAATAGCAGCAATGATATGTATAGACCAAACAGCCCCATCTTAATGTTAATGCAGGGGTCATTGATTTTAACTATTCAGTTTTGTAGCCACTTTTTTTTCATTTCTGAAATACATGATACCCCAGATTTGATCGTCAAATTTAGATATAACAGTTGGAACAACTTACAAGGTATATCAATGGACAGATCAGTTGTATAGCATACAAATGAAATAAAATGATCTTTAATGCTATTTCAGCTTCATCTTCCCTCTCCTCATTTTAAACCTTTGTGTATTTAATAAATATTTGAAAGCTATGTTCAAGCCACGATGTGGGCTGCCATCTGGAAGTGAAGAATGAGAGAAGATCTAAAAAGTAGTTGGAGAAAGGCATCTTTCTGTTTATGGTTAAGTTTAGACGTACCAAATGCAAAAAAAAAATGAGTGTAGTCTCCAGTGGTCAGAGAAGTGTTTATCAAAGAGATATATGGTTTCTGTGAAGTCTTAAAAAATGGAAAGTGAAAGGGCTGAGGTTCAAATAGTCAAGAAGAATATTTGTGAAGGTTATCCAGAATGCATGAAATGAATTTGAATCACCTTTGTGGAGTTCTAATTTGATTAAAGAGGAAGATTTTTGTAATAGAATAGTGAGAAAGTTGGGAAGATAGGTTGTGGGTATATTGTGGTAGCCTTGAATGTTAGATTAAAGGTTTGTCCCTGGGTCGCACAAATGGCTTGTGCTCAACACTAACAGAAAAGTTGGTGGTTTAAACCCACCCAGTGGCCCTGCAGAAGGCAGGCCTGGCAACCTGCTTCTGTAAAAATTACACCCAAGAATACCCTATGGAGCTCAGTTCTGCTCTGTCCACATGGGGTCACCATGAATCAACTTGACAGAAATGCGTTGGTTGGTTGGTTGGTTTTTCTTTTAATACCAGATTAAGAAATGTATTGACCACATTACATATTTATAACCTATGGCCATGGAGTCAGTTCCAACTCATAGAAATACTATAGAACAGAGTAGAACTGCCCCATAGGGTTTCCAAGGTTGTAAATCTTTATGGAAGTAGGCTGCTTCATCTTTCTCCCATAGAGCAACTGGTGGGTTCAAACAGCCAAACTTTGGTTAGCAGCCAAATGCTTTAACCTCTGCACCATCCAAACCAAAACCAAACTCACTGATGTCCAGTAGGATCCAACTCATGGTGACTTCTCGTTGGGTTTCTGAGGCAGCATCACCATGGAAGTAGATTGCCCAGTCTTCCTTCCGAGGAGTGGCTGGTGCATTTGAACTACCAGCCATCTGGTTAGCGGTCAAATGCCTTAGGCACTATACCACCAGAGCTCCTCTCTGCACCATCAGAGTTCCTTAAATAAAAGGTAATACAGAAGCTAAGGGTTGTGCAGAGGACTGGCATAATGAAAGCAATGTTTTATGTATGTGAGTTATCCATAGTTTATGCATATCTGTGCTTAGTGCTTAACTAAGAAAGCATAGAAGAAAAAGTGCCTTGAAATTTTAAAGTTCAGAGCCCTCAAGAATGACTAGTGACAAAAATGGGCAATTTCTCAAGCTTGAAATACATACTGCTTCTCTTAAGTATTCAGTTGAATTTCAGTAACATTGAAAATATGCATTGCATCATTTAGGAATATTTGCTCAGCTGGCCATATTCAGCAGTTTTTAAGAGGAAAACAAGAATGCAATAAAAATTGCATGTAAAAGAACGTAGAAAAAGTTATGTACTGCTCACGTTCCTCACCTATACAAAAGGGCTTGTGGTTGCAGGTGAAAGTTCAAAGCAAATCTGAAGCATAGGTTTTCCTTTTCTTCCTTCTATCCTGGAAAGGAGGAAGCACTGTTAAGCGCACTTCTAAAGAGGAGAGGGGACATTGACCAACTTAACGGTTAAAGCTGAAGAGAGTTTTGTAGTATTTATGTATGCCTGATGATTAGAATTATTTATTCGTATTGAAAGCGTACAATTTGTACTTACCTAATTGTAAAATGTAAAAATATAGCTAATTAATAGTTCCTCTCAGAGTTTTTATTTCTGTTCTTTAAAGGCAGGACCCTTATCTTGTTTCTCTCCTGTCGTTTTCACAACTGATGTTCTGTTACTCATATTGAGTATAGCTTGCCTAGAAAATGCTGGTCTGCTCAGCAGTAAATTAGAATTGTACTCAAAGATACATTCATACCAAACAAATACGAAATACGGGGTCCATCTTACCTATGTGGTTTGTTTGGCTTACTCCAAAAGAAGCTAAATCTTTTGTCAGGAATGATTAATTGGCTTGCTTACTTGCTTGTCCCTGTCACTAACTCATTTAAAGTTTGCTGAATACCTACCCTTTATAAGTGCTCTGGTGGCATAGTGCTAAGGCACTTGACTACCAACCAGACGTTGAACCACCAGCCACTCCTCGGAAGGGAAATCGGGCAATCTACTTCCGTAGTGATACCGCCTTGGACACCCAAGGAAGGCTTGCTATGAGTCGGAGTTGACTCAACAGCAACTCTTTTTCTGAGCTTGAGAAGATGGATATAATAAACAATGAATAGACATGTTAATATAAGTACACTGTTTAGATCTTTTGAGAGTATATTTAAGCATTGAATTATGCTGCCTCTCTGTCCGTTCTTTAAAAACTGAAGAGTTCTTTAATGGATAGAAAAATAACTTTGGAGTTAGGACTGAGAAAAGAAAGTTGCTTTATTTTAGAAATAAGAATATTTGATGTGATGGTAAAACATTTTAAAGAAAGCAGTTGGTACATCTTTGGATAAGAATAACTGAGATCTTGACATGTTGCTTTGAACTTATTACAACAACTATGAGAAAGCAGAGATTTTGTAAATATCTGTTCTTTTTGTGGTGTTACAAAGCAATCTTTATTCTATTGATTTGGGTTTATGAAAATGCTCTTTAAATCAACTTTAATGTCATAAATATATGGAATCAATAAAAGTAATTTTGAATGACAAGTGTACTCATGTTAGACATTCAAACTGTATAGCAGCAATAGCAAAAATAGAAAGTAATGTTTTATATTAAAATTATTTCCTGCTTTTGATGCTAATGTCCATAAATCTCTTAACTTTGCCAACAGAGCAATTTGTCAGTGGAACACATTTTATAAATAGTAGACTTTTCAATAATTTTATCCTTTTAAAAATAGTTTTAAATGTCATGTATTTGGCTTCATGAAATATACAAATGTGAAATGCTACTGTGTTCGAGGAAGCCCTGGTAGTGCAAATGGTTAAGTGCTCACGTGCTAACAGAAAGGTTGGCTGTTGGAACCTGCCCAACGGCTTAATGAGAAAGACCTGGAGATCTGCTTCCGTGAAGATTACAGCGAAGAACTCCCTGCTAGGGGTGTTCCAGTCTGTCACGTGGGGTTGCTATGAGTCTGAATCAATGGCACCTAACAACAACAGCACTCACTGTTTGCACACAAATGTCCTTCTTAATTGAATACCTACTTTTCCAGTGTAACACTCTTCACAAGGAGTATTTTTGTAAAGAGAAGTGGTTAAACAATACTTCCTCTAGGCACTTTCTCAGAAAATAAGGCAGTAGATCCCTCGACAAGGTAACAAACTTGTAAACAAGAGGGCATGTATATTTCAGATTCAAGCAGTTTCTACAGTGACAAGGATGTACACATTTTTTCATGAGAGAATGGAAAATAGTAGAAGACACCTGAGTGGCAACAGAGTATAGTGGTTAAGACTCAAGTTGGGCTCAAATCTCAGCGATGCAGCACTGTAATGGTAGTAACACTGACTTTATAGAATTGTGAGAATTAGGAGTATAAATTCACACAACACAGTGCTTGATAGTAAGTGTCAGCTCAGCAAATATTAGATGTTTTTGTGATGGTGGTGGTGATAGGGATGGGTAGAAATAAAAAGTAAATGAGGTTTGGCAAATTAAATATTAGATGCAAGAGACAATGAATTTATAGATCCAATCCTGAATTTTTCATCTTTGCTGTTTTTTTTTTTTAAGCAATAATATCAGGGATTGGCAAAGGACTCCTGATTTTCCCATAGGAAGGGTGAACATCAATGGGTTTCAAATTTTTAATAAAGAACTTGGTGATTGTGGAAGGAGTACAGTGCTTCCCAAACTTTAATACTCATTCATACAGATCATGTGATAATTTGTGAAAATGCAGATTGTGACTCAGCAGGTATGGTTTGGGGTACAAATTTCTGCATTTCTAGGAGTTCCCAGGTGACGTTAATTCTGCTGATACATGAACTGCACTTTGAGTAGCAAGAATTTAAATGATGGTGCTATCGTTAAAAAGCATTGGGCTGCTAACCAAAAGTTTAGTGATTGGAACTCACTGGCAGCTCTGTTGGAGAAAGAAGAGGTAGTCTGCTTCCTTAAAAGTTTACAGCCTTGGGAACCCTACAGGGTAATTCTACCGTGTCCTTTAGGGTCACTGTTGAACTGGAGTCAAAGCAAAGCCGTATTACTTATACACAGTTAAAAAAAAAAAAAAAACCCAAACTCTCTTCCATCAAGTCAATTCTGACTCATAGTGACCCCCATTGAGTTCCTGAAGCAGTTAATCTTTATGGAAGTAGATTGCCCAGTCTTACTGCCAGCAGAGGGGCTGGTGGGTTTGAACCATCAACCTTCTGGTTAGCAGTC